TAAAAGAAACTCACCTTCTGCTCACCTCTGGTCCCTTCAACTAGGATCCATTTTCTCCAGAATTGGTAAACACTGGCCCACAGAATCCTAGAGCCACAGATCAAATCAGTTAGTGAACAGATTTAACAGTCAATGTGTAGAACAAACCGGAAGACATCCAGCGGCTGAGAAGCTCCTTCTAGTGTGGAATTGGTTCATCTAGGCTGCCTTCTCCCCACCGTCCAGGAAGCCAGATTTCCAGAGCACCAACACCTGTGGGACAGGAAATCCTGAGAAGACTCACCTGTTTAGTCAAAAGGAACAACTCAGGTGAAGACTGCACCACCACCACCTACACTGATCATGGACCTCTTACAGTAAACAGATTAAACACCAGTAAATACCATCTCTCAGGTGCTGTGCCCATCAATCCAGCCTAAACTCATTCTATAAATAAATGCCATTAACCTTAGCCATCCTCCTCAACATGGAGTATTTTGGACAGTGCACTACAAAAATGTACTTCAGTTTAAGCTTTAAATTAAACTGCATAGTTGAATAAAATGGCAGATCTTGTCACTACAGTTTAAAAGAGGTCATAAATATTAACCTAATCTCTATCAAATCTAGGATTGTCTCCTTGCCAAGTATATTTTCTATTAAAGAACCTAAACGCGCAATCTAACCTGTAAGCCTAACCAGATAACCATATATTTATAAATTTGACAACTTGGCCATATGTGACTCCACTAAAACGACTCGTTTCGGCAGAGGATAATATTCTTCTGCTGGGAGGCCTCCCACACGTCGGGCTACATACCACAGAAGGGTACATCATTCTTTACTAGGAAATTAACTTGGCAGAGAGACAAGCCAGACCTGACAGTCTAAACTGTAACTGACATTAAAGACAATTTAGTCTTAAATTATGTCAGTTGACAGAACATCTATGGGCTGAATGTGATTTAACTCTAACACATTAATGAACCTTAACAACAATACTAAGCAATTAAATAACTACAATCTATACACCAGAGAAACATGCAGTTAAGGTGATCACAGAAAAAACAAGAAAATATACAACCAAGCATATCTTAAAATGGAAACTGGAGACTGCCAGCAGTGGTGGTTCTGGGTCCTGGGGGGGGCAGTACTTAAACATGAATAAGTCCTGTTAGTTTTTTTATACAACAAGAGATAACTTGGATTACTTATTTTTCTCCTTAGTTGTCCTGTGCCAGCCATCCTTGACAAGGTGTCTAACATCTGCAGACAGAGGACAAGAGGTTAGAAAAAACAAAACCCAAATAAATTAGAAAAAAAAAAATAAAATCCAACTCTCTGAATTATGCTCATGTTATTCAACATTTGGTCACATTAAAGCAGAATTTTGTAATGGAATAATTAAACAATGAACATCACAGAAACTTCAGCCTTCTGCTCACCTCAGGTCTCGACCACGATCCAACATCTCCATACTTGTTAAACACTGGACTTAGGACGCCGCCTTCAACCCCACCATCCAGGAGGCCAGAGTTCCAACACCGTACTGAAGACTTACCCATTTGATTGACTGATCTTACCAGTCAGTCAATAGCTTGTGTGAAGAGTACACCTCTTGTACCTACACCTCCACCAGCTACACTGGCCATAAGAGCTTTTACACAGTACACCCAGATTAAACACCAGTAAGTTACATAAACAAATGAATGGCCAGCATCCCAGCTAATCACAAGCACTAAACTTAATCCAAAAAGGCACATGCAGATAAAGACGGACATACTGATGGTCATGCAAACAATAAAGGGGTGGACATTATAGACAGCAGTGATGGTGAGCTATATACTGAAATATACAAACCTCCAACAGTCAAGCAAGTACATGTATACATTTACAGAGGTTACAAAGGCAAATACATTTACAGAGGTTACAAAGGCAAATACAGTTACAGAGGTTACAAAGGCAAATACAGTTACAGAGGTTACAAAGGCAAATGCAGTTACAGAGATTACAAAGGCAAGTACAGTTACATGACTTAGGGCCTTGGACAGCAATATTGAAGTTCACAGTTACATGACTTAGGGCCTTGGACAGCAATAATGAAGTTGAAGTTCTCGTCGGTCAGCCTAGAAACAAGATGACAGCAACCAGGAAATACAAAACAGAAAGAAAAAAACAGCACAAGGTCGCAAATCGTTGAAGGGTCGCAAACGAGATGCTAAAGTTTTGGAATTTTTTTTTTGTGTGTGTTTAAAAAAAAAAAAGAAAACTGCCAGTGAAGCCCTTATTAAGGGCAATGTAAAAAAAGTTGCCGAGAGTGGTTAAATGGCCACACTGTGAAATAAAAGAAGAGGAGATAGAGGCATGGTAGCCAAGAGGAGACAACACAATGGCACTATAGCCATTACCCTGGATGTCAGTCTTTTGACACAGTGGCCAAAACAAGGCATCCGAAAACTCCAATCTAAGCTAACTTAGTGTTCAGGTGAGAAACATGTCAGTCTAGCTCTGGCACTACCTCTGGTCCCACACACATAATTCAAAGAGGGGAAAAAAAAGAGTGGAAAAATTCTGCTGTTGTTCTTAACTTTTAGACTGAACAGTGGCAAATGTCTACTTCAACACTACCCGTCAACTAGCCATTTTAAGACGCAGCTATATATAAAAAGGATCAGCATGGCAGCTGGGAAAAAAAAGAACATGGATAGGGCCCATGCGCGAAGTATCAGCTCGGCGGCTGGGAAATGACTTTTGACTACGCAACTAATCGCAATGTAAGTGTGTTTTCAGAATCTTCGTCTCCATCCAGCAGAGCCTAAAAGGGGAAAATGGTTATGGCACGGCGGCCAGGCAGAACCCCAACCCCACCCTCCCAAACAAGAAAAAGGGCACGCACCTGTCTGGCTCTTCAATTGCAGTTTTGGGAGACATTCAGGAACCCTGTGGATTGGTGTGTGTGTGTGTGTTGCTTGTGTTTTAAACCTCTTTGTTACATTACACGCCACATTGTTCAGCCATCTCTCAATGATAACATTAATAAATAATTAAATAAACTACATTACAGATAACAGCAATTAGCTTTCTTTATTCTTAAATAAAAATAAAAAAAAACAGAACAGGACAGACGGAGGCCGACAGAATAGCCATCCGGAGAGGAATTAAAAAATAAACAGAATAGCCATCCGGAGAGGAATTAAACAGAAGTTTTGGACTCACCCTTTGTCGACAGGCCCTACAAGGCAAAATGTGTTACTCACATGTATTGAGACAGAATGTCATTCACCCGTACTTACTAGAAACTGCTGAGCTTAAACCACATCACTCATTCTATTAACTACAAACACTGAACCACCATGGTCAGAAAGCAGAGGCAACATTTAACTAGTTAGCTCAGCAGTTTCACATCCACACCATTAAATAGGGACCAGAGTTTCAACAAACTCGAGCAGAGAGCCACCTACCTGTAAGACTTCACTGACTGGCTAACCATCCTCCTGCTAATGGCTCCTGCTCCAAAACCCAGACTCCACTGCCTCTAAACTAAAGATTCTGAAAAAACAGAGAGGAAACCAACAAGACAAAAAAGACTGTAAGACATTTGCTGCTGCTGCTGCTGCTGCTACTACTACTACTACTACTACGTTTCACTCACACAGAGACTCAATCACACACTCAAGCAGACATAGGCTTCAGCGGCCTAGCACAACAGCGACACGGCGGTCGCACAGGAAAATAAGAAAAACGACGTTCCTTACTATGTTGAAGATCTTCGTGTTGATCAATCTGGAAAATAAACCCGACACGAGTCACGTAAAGTATTTAGGTTTTGGAGTGAACACACACATTTGTCAAATAATTTCTTATTAAGTAGAAACCCCGAGTCCACAGACCGCTCACCTTCTCTCACTTCGATGCCCGACAACTCCGACCTGGTCTCCGTGTGCAGAAATCACGGTGAATCTGTTAATCCCAAACGATGTTGATTAAAAGTTTAAAACATAAGCTGTTTCTTTCAAAAGTTAACTGCAGAAGACACTGGTGACGGTCAGACATTATTGAATACATTCTCCAAACACATTCTGACGTGGGTCAGACATTAGATTCAGCACAGCAAATAATAAAAATAGTAAAAAGATTTCTTGCACCTTAAGTGAAGTCTAGATTATTTAGTTAAATTAATACACGATGTCAAAACACCAACAGCAGCGAATAAAAATGAAAAAGTCTCTGTCTCTTACTCTTACCCTTCCGTCTCCGTCTCCGTCTCAGTCTCCATTTGGAATAACGCCGTACACCTGTGGCTTTTAAAGCACGTGGCACGTTTTTTTGGCATGTGACGTCACATACCGTGACCATTTTGGGGCTTTTTTTTTTGCCCATTTCGTTTATAAAGAAATATTTAGAAACTCCTGCTGCTCCTGCAGAAATGTTGTCTTGTTAATCAGAAAACAATTAATATATATATACTTACATAATTGTATTTTTTAACGTGAGTGAGAGGAAAATAGACATTTTTATATCTGATTTATTCATTTTTAATCTGATTAATTACAAGATAGCTGTGGTTAGGTCATAAATCATTATGATTAATCATATTGAATCAGAAATCATATTGAAATTATGAGAATGTGGACAAATCAACTGTCCTTAATGTGACAAAAACTACAATCTAAATTAAAAAAAATTAAAATTATTAAATGTTGATGATGAACCTTGTCACTGGTTTGAGCTTCAGAGCAGGACCTGCGCTTCTTGCAAAAACTGTTATTTGTGTTTATCTGATCCTCACGCAATATAACCTCCTGACAGATGCTTACCATGTAATCGGGCTGGCATATAAGTTTCTATTGACTCTTTCAAGCTTTTGTTGGAGGCCTCCAAGTTAATGTACACAGAGAAGGAAATTCTCATGTCTATAGACAATGATATTGTCATTAATAAACTTGCAGAAAACAGTGCTTTGCTCAGGAAGATTTTGATGCTGAAAGTAGCCTAGTTAGAGAGAGAGAGGGAGAGGGAGAGGGAGAGAGAGAGAGAGAGAGAGAGAGCTGAAATAACTATTAACTAAAAAAACTATTGGAAATTATTTTGTATTTAAATGATTTATTTTTGTAGATTTTAACCAATGAGCTTTTTCTGTTACAGTCGTCAAAGCACGCTCTTTCTATCAAGAAAAAAGTTCTTAAAATAGGTCTTTTAGAACTTTTTCTTTGATCGAAACCAATTCTAAAAAAATATGTGAATGTCAAGGTCAACTGTAGGAGGCGCGCTGATATTGAAACGTTTGTATAACGAAAATAGGAATACATTTGACGGACCTTATTTCTGGTTGCGGATCCAGCGAATGAGACACGAGTATTAGCTGTTTGGGCTTCCAGTGGGCGTTGAAGTAAAAGAAACTGGGCACGGTGGCTACATGTGATTGATTGAAACGGTGGGTTTTTTAAAACAATTGTCGGTTGCATTTGTTGCACAATGTCTCCTCACACAAGGTGAACTTCACGTTGTGAAGGTGAAACAATAAATGCAATAAACAAATTTGTCTTTGAGACCCCTGCTCCAAAGTAAAACAACAGAAATAAGTGAATGAAAAAAGTAATCAAAGATATTTAATGATAGTGTATTATATACAGTAAGTATATGTAAGCTAAAGTAAACATTGGCAATTAGCTGGTGGTTATAAGAAGATACACCAAAAGACTAGGTGTGTTGGTCAATCTGTCCATACTCCAGACCTCTCGTAATGTGAATCCACTGACTTATGTACTTGTATGGAAATAGACTAAGGGGTGTTTGAAATACATCTTAGGAGAAATGAGTGGTACAGTTTAACAGCTTACAAAGGCAAGTACAGTTTTATGACTTGGGGCGTTGGACAGCCTAGAAACAAGATGACAGCAACCAGGAAATACAAAACAGAAAAAAAAATCGCAAGGTCGCAAATCGTTGAAGGGTCGCAAACGAGATGCTAAAGTTTTGGAATGTTAATTTATTCACTGTATAACTATTTAAAATCGTTCATATTGGTTTAGCTTTCAACTTAAAATGAGTTGTGCTTACTTTTTTTATTTACTTACGTTTTTCTTACCAGCAAGTCCTTCCAATCTGTGTTAAATAAAGTTACTTAACAAATAGATAGAGATAAAGATAGATAGCACTTTATTAATCCCTCGAGAGTTACCTTTTGGTAATTTAGGGATCTCTTAATTCATCACTTAATTAATTATTAATTATTTATATTAATTGATTAATAAATCCCTTGCCCTGACTTGTGTTCCGTGTCTTTACTATTTACATTTTCTCCATTTGTTGTCACAACAACGTATGAACTAAAGTATATATTTGTAAAAAAAAAAAATAGCAAGGAAAGTATGTATGGAAAGAAACATAAGTTAAAACAAACCTCCTCTCCACTGTGTGACAGTAGACGAAAATAGCAGGCTGCTGCATACATAGGCGTAGAAGAAGAATGTGAACGAATAAATATCACATTCGCTTCCTGTCTCCCCCGTTTTCGCCTGCAACACCAAATGGTTAAGTACATGGTAAGTAAGTGGTGTAAATGTATTAGTTAAATTGGATTGTGACTGCATTAGCTCTGGTAAAATCAAATTTCAGCAGAAAAATAATGTTAAAGTTTACCGTTATGCATGTAGAACTATGGCGTTCCCTGCTCTTGTTTGGAACGTTCATTTTAAGATTAAGCACGCGTGTACTTATCAATTATACAATGATCTGTTTGAAAACAACTCAGTATTTATTTTTTTAACTACGCATATGCATTATACATAAAATATACATTTCGAACGAGGTTTCGTAAACGTGTTTTTCTTGTCTACGGCCATTCTCTTTGAAACGTTACCCTTAAGCAGTCGCCACGTGGTATGATACAGTAGGAAGCTAACACCTTGAGCTACATTGGCTATGATTGTTATATTTTTACAATTTCATTTTCTGTTGATTTCATGTCACTGTCAATAATCCAGGTTTCTCTCTCATTGTGTTTGTTTGTGATATTTTATTTTTATTCTTGGTCTTCTCTGATGACTTGCACTGGGCTCTGAGTTCATATGTAGACAACGTGCATCTTTGGCCCTGACAAGCCAAAGTTTCTGAGATGACTGAATTAGAAAATCGTATAAAATGGTTGTAGTTGACATATAATAACACGCGCTTTTTTTGTCTTCTCAGGTCACGAGGATCGCACCGATAGACCCCAGGTTTCTGCAAGGTACAGACCTGCTTTTCCACTAAAAAACAAATTTGAACACAAAGTGTAATACTAAACAGTGGCCACTAGATGGAGTTAAATACACAGATGTTAATAGCATGAACAATTACTAAAGTGAAAATAATTTAGACGACCTCATTTCTGTTATACCAGAATTTTTTTTCCACTGCGTTCCTACCAACTAAAATATTACAGTTTTAGTGTGTGAAATAATTTAATGTTGTTGGCCAGTTCTGTGATTTGTTGTACTGTTTATTAATTGGCAAAGACATTAACTAAAGCAGTGGTCTGACTGTGCTCAACCTCTCCAAGGATGACTTGCACTGGGCTCTGAGTCTATATGGAGATAACGTGCATCTTTGGCCCTGACAAGCCAAAGAGTCTGAGGAGAATTAAAAACTTTAGAAGTAAAATTCCAAGCTGGGTACTGCAGTAACACTAACACTTGCTCTCATTTTCCTTGCAGGTAATACAAGTGATGATCCTGGAGTGAGTGCTGTTGTTGTGCCAAGCAATGCCAATTCTGTCTTAGGTTTTACTAACTGTTAGTTCTCAGCTGTTATTTCTTACTAAGACATGATGTCTAATTGGAGAAGAGGGTCCTGTTGTAGTGTTCAGTTACCAGTATCTGATGTCAAGGTTCAGTCATGAAAAGTTGATTCAATCTCAAATGTTGCACTACATAAGGTTTGTTGTTCATTGTAAAATTGCACTTAATTGACTTGACTGCAAATGTTGAAATAAATATTCTTGGAAAATACTTAAAGGACTTATGTCTTATGAGACTTTTTTCTGCTTTATCCTATTGTCATCTACTTGAATGAAATGTTTTAAGCTCAGCTAGTAAACTCTGACTCTGCATTAGGTTAAGGATAAGATCTTAACTGTCTGCTGAAATAAGACATGAGTGACTTCAGAGCAATTGTTTTGTGAAGCTAACTATTCCCCCATTCTAAAATCTGACAACTTATGTTGAACAAACTGGTTTTCAATTGTTGTGGGTTACGGTTTCCTGGGGCTAATGGAAACGGCGGTGTCTGACATGCTAGCCTTCATCAACAGGACCATTCTTTAGTTTTATTTACTCATAGGCAGACTTTTTCACAATTGTGAAAATGTATTATTTTCAACCAAACTGAATTCACCCTAACCACTGAAATGTGAAAAAACATTTGAAAATTACTAAGACCTCATGAAACAGGATTTGTATGATATGCAGGTTGTGTATTTCCACAATGTAGAGAAATTACAATGTACTGATGCAGCTGTTGACAAAGTCTCACTCCAGAATTACACAACATTTTTCTGTATCTTATAATTCTAACAATTTATTATCTCTTAAAACATTTGAAATTCATGATTATATGAATATGTGTATATGCATCTTACATATACATATATATTCTGTAAGTAACCTTTTCATCAGTTCATATTTTTTTAAAAGATCTCTCAAAAGAAAACGATGCTTTCTATAGAGTCGGACCAATTCCTGTTTCGATCTTTAACTTCTTCATTAGACAGCTGTGTGTTGACCTTGACCAGTAAGTGCATGAAAGGATTAAAAACAATTCTTCAAAAATAATATCTCACCGGTCGACTATACAACAAATGTGTCGGAAAGAGAAGTGTTGAAAATGTTGAGTTCAAGGTTGATCACGGGCTCCATTTACACCAGCATCAAAGATAGCAGTTGAAAATGAAGCAGGATTGGATTAAATATGAACGAGTGACGTGTAGGAAACCGTTTTGCTCCAAAACCACTCTGACCCCGTGCCCCTTTCCCTGTTTGGACTGAGCTTCTTCAATGTGGAAACCACGAGTGCTAACGACATTTCATTGCAAAATATGCTTGTAATTAATGACGAGCCATGAGCAGAGTGGTACATGCTGGCTGCTGCGTAAAGTACTTTGTAAAAACAAATACTAGAACACAAACAATGAATGCAGTATGAAGCTCCTGGTGGGTCGAAAAGGAAGGTGTGGATGAGGAGAACGGGTCAAACTGTATAGAAAGCAGCACATTTAAATAAATACATTTTTACTTCATGTTAAACATCTGGAAGACAGAGATTCTTTAGAACTTTTTCTTTAGAGACTTTTTCGTTTTGTTTTTTTTTTTTACACCTTATACCATAATTAGATCATTATTTTCATCGTCCTTATTGCTATTTATTTCTTCCACTCAAATATAATCTCGACCACCAACACAGCACATTAACTTTGAAAGCAATGTTTGTTTGTTTTTTAAATCTATCTTTACTCCATGTTTTCACAGTCATGTATATAATGTGTTGACTCTCAGCTTAGTTTTCTTCTAGCAAAAATAGACGATAAGGGACGGCAGGTGTCGGGGCAGGTGGCGACCTCCCCGTCCGGGCGCCCCTCCCCCCATATAAAATCATGTTTGATATGTGTCTACAGTCAGGAACGCAGGAGGAGAGGTGAAGTGTTGTTCAAGGTAGAGAGGTCATGAGAGAGCCCTTATATTTAATCTCAGCAACAGTGAGAAAAGCAGGACCAAGAATGTGGGATGTGAATAAGCTCTAAGTTGACGCGTGGACAACAATAAAGTATTTTCACAGGTGACCAATGGAGAGGGACTGAAAAGAAATTCAGTGTTTTTAAGTTGTGATAGAAAACACGTCTCTTTTGCTTTCAAGAGCGATGCGGTAAGCATGTGCATAATACATATTGGGAAAAGTGTTTTAAAATAGGAGGGGAAAAAAGGCACACGTCAACATAATTTAAAAAAAAATCTGTAAAGTCAAAACAAGGGGTAAAGAAAGTGACGACGACGATGTGCTCCACCTTGAGCTGCGATGCTTCTCATCCTCTGGAAGCAATGGTAAGGGTATAGTGCATTCAATGATTAGTCCTCGTCTTTCAGTTCAAAAAATATCTCCACATATACATTTTTATTTAAATATATGCATCCAACACAGAAAATGTACCAGCTGCACGGAGCGCGGCCTGCAACCAAACAGGCTGGAACCGGTAAATCTCTGGAGCTGTAATAACACTAAGGACGATGATAGTAATGACGTGTAGTAACAATAAATCTCTTCATATCAGTATTCTCATTTAAAGTTTAAAAACTGTAAGAACAACCGTAGTATTAAAATTCAATATAAGTGTTACTCTCCATATATATATGGGCCACGTGGATGCTTCTGTCCTCCTGGACACAGTGGACAGAGACGGGGCACTAAAGGAAAGATTGGGGGGGATTGGGTGGGAAAGAGCAAGAAAATGGCAGTTTTTCCTCTTCCCCATCCCCACTCATGTCACGTCTCCCTTGGGCAGAAGGTCTGTAGGGGGGCACAGCTGTTGCTTCAATGCTAAGGAAGTGTCTTTTCCTGTAAATAAAATCTCCATGTTGTCACTTGTCCTGTCTTTAATGTTGAAATCACAGTCCGTACCTTTGTTCAGCTCAGATCCAAACATATAATATGTCTATATATAAGGTGTCCCATTAACGCTCAACACAAGCACAGCTGAGTGCCTGTGCGTGTGTGTTGGTCTACGGTGGTGTATGCATGCAGGCATCTATAGGAGTAACATGGGTGCCTGTGTGTGCGTGTGTGCATATCAGTGTCTTTTTTTTATGTTGTTGGTCTGGGCACTTATTTTTGCTACAAATTTTTCATACAGTGACCAGTCTGTATATATGTGTATATATGTATATATATATATAAATATATATATATATCGACTTGATAAAGAACTATAGAGAAACACACAAGATCCTGAAGACAGGAGCCTCAGTGGCGACAGAGTTTTACCGCTGGCAAGGTAAAAACGTGATGTTACGAAGCCACACACACACACACACACACACAGATAGAGCCACCGAGGCCTGAACCAAGGATGCTGTGGGTAACTGTGTGTGTCCTCACCCAGAGTATATATCTGTCTTCATCACAGATGAACGGACAACAGTCAGTCTCAAACACCCATCACCTTCTATGACATAAGCATCTCCAACACAGGGAGGAGGGGCCGCAGTGATTGCACTGTAAATATTCTCAGATTTCACTTTCAAACAGCTGTCCAGTGGCTAACAGGACTTTTCAACAGGATGGCTACACAGAGCTGACCCTCCTCCCTCGACCTCTGCCCTTTTTTGTTTAAAGAATTTACTGGCTCCTCATTGTTTTGTTAGATTTGGGTTTTATCAGTATGTATAACTTTAGAGATGTGATTTACTGCATCCATAGTTCTTCCATAAGCGTTTTGGATGAGGAGGTGCTTATTGATTGTGTGACCGTGCATGCATATGTCAGTGTGTGGGGCAGTAAATCTATTCTTCACATCCAGGGAGTGCCAGCCAGTGCCTTAGTGGATCATCAGACCCCCCCCCCCCCATAGGAATCTCCCTTTGAGACTTGTATCCCTCTCTCTGTTGTTCTCCGTGTGAAATCTGCCCCCCCCCCCATTCCATATTTGTTGTGTGAATCCACCATGGACAGTAGCAGTTGTGTCTTCATCCCTCATTGCCTCCAAACCATCCTTCATCTCCTTCTTTCATCCCTCTTTTCCCCCTCTTCCATCTCTATATTTGCAATATCAGCTCCGGCTCCCATCGTCCCTCCTCCTCTCATTCTGTCCATCCCGTGGTGAGAGAACAGAAATGGGAAACGGACTGCTGGACAGCCTGAGGACAGGAGAACAAGTGATTAAATAAGTATCTGTTGTCCTAGGTGCTTACGACCAGAAATGCAACTTTGTGCTTCACAAAACAAGTCGGAAAACAAATATCAATCTTCTAAATAACTGAGCTGTTTCTCCACTCGTCCTTCATTTAGGTCGAAACACTTTTGTAAGTAATTCCTCCTATTTACAGTTCTGACAATGAAAATGTCGTCCTTATAACAACTTTCTTCTTTGCCTCAATTTAAAAAAGTTTTTTTCAAAGGTTGTTTTAGTCTTGGGAAGAAAGAACTTTCTTTTATGTTTGATTAAAAAGAATACTCCAAAAAGTTTTTAATTTACCCCAGTAATTCAATACAAGTAATAATAATAACACACATTCTAGCTGATAATCTTAATACTCTGCATAATTCAGAATCAAGAAAAGAACAGAAACGGTGGTCGACGTGTTTCTCTGTCAAATCCATCTAACTAGAGCCCCACCTGTCAATCACGTTCCTGAGGGCCCGCTCTATGTTCATGCGATGGCCCACTCGTGTCACACCCAGGTCCAGGTAATCATCCTTGGTTAGTGAAGGCAGATGAGTTCCATCAATTTCATTATCCAGAAAACGCTCTCTGTGCTCACCTAGGTTCAGGTACGCTAGCCAGTCTGCAACGTCATACTTGGTCCAGTAGGGCAACGGTTTGGAGGCAAATGGCTTTGTCGGGGAAGGAGGTGGCAAATGGGGATAACTCAGGCAGGGAGGTGGAGGGAGGGGATGCAGGGGTGGAGATGAAGTCCCAGACAAGAAGTGAGTTGGTGAGAGGGATCGTGAAACCACTAAAGTAGAGTTTGGAGGAGGGGGTGCCCCTGAGGGGGCAAAGAGGGGAGGAGATGGCGAGAAGTAAGGATCACCGAGAGGATTCCCAGGTGATGGTGGGGTGATTGAACCCTGAAGATCATACATTGCACTATATAGTGGTGTGGTAGGGAGTAGAGGAAGAGAAGATGGACGCGGTGGTCCCAGTTTGGGTCTCTCGGAGGGAGAGATGAGCGGGCTAGGGGCTCGTCTGCGCTGCATGTGTTCTGCTTTACGAGTCTCGCGACTGGGGATGAATTTAAATTCTAGAGCTTTGGTACGGTACACAGGTCTGTGTTTGGGAGAGGTGGGATAGGGGGAGTAAGATGTTGGGGAAAGTGGGGAATGGCAACGTGGTGGCTGAGCAGGTGGAGGCTGAGGAGATGGAGATCGTCCCCAGTTAGGATACTGGGATGTAGGTGTTGGAGACGGAGACAATGATGGCTGTGACAACGAGATTGGAGACGGAGACAGTGATCGCACAGAGGGAGGGCTGAGAGCTGAAACGGAGTCTTCTGAAAATCTGGAAAATAGAGAATAGACCAAAGGATAGATGGGATAGGACAGACCAAAAGTTGTTACTTGTAACAATTATAACACAAAAAAAGTCATCAACCGGTGGCACTATGTTTTTTTGTGAGACACATTTGATGTTTTCATTGGCTATCTTTCAGGGAAAATGTATTTTGCTGCTTGCTCTGTTACACTTAAAAAAAAAACTAACGTTTTGACAATGAGTAACATGAAGTCACGGTTGTACCTGTGTCTACTCAACGGTCTCTGGCTGCTCCAGCTCTCTTTGCTCCTTTGGTGCAGTTTGTTGCTCAGTTCATTAATAATGCTGGGCTTCATACTGGAAGCAGGTGGGTAAATCTTCTTTCCCTCTAAAAATGTTCCAGATGTGCCATCTTCATCACTTGTCATCTGCCCTTCACCCCAGAGTGGCTTCATATCAGGAGTGCGCGGTCGATCAAAGTATGGTGAAGTGGATCTTGCCACGGACTGCATGGTCCTCACAGTGTACCCACCCTGGCCACTGTCGTCCTCCCCTGCTCTCTCTTCAGCTTCATTGTCCTCCAGCTCATCTCTCCGTCTGTGAGAATGGAAAGATGCCGGAGCAGTACTGGTCTGTCTGTGCAGCTCTCCAGCTCGCCCTTCTCTGAACCTGTTGGCTTTTGGGTAGGTGGACGCTGCTGCTGTCGCATTCTGCATCTCAAATGATTGTCCATCTAAATAACTCATGTAAGATTCCAAAAAATCTCCTCCCCTTTCCGATTCTCCTACACCACCTCCCATCCTTCCCCCAGCTCCCACCCCTCTCTCTCCCCTGTCCAGCCTGTCACCTCGCCCACCCACTCCAGTCTGAGCTAGGATGCTGTCCAAGTGGTGGTCACTGCTACTGCGACTGTCTAGCTCCTCAATTCCAGAGTCCACAACTGTTTCTTGGGACTCGCCTTTCTTGGTAGCAGGTGGAGGGCGGTGGTGTTCTGCCGTTCTACGCGCAGCTGTGATTGTGGTGGAGGGTGTTGAATGTGTGGTATGTGTCCGCTCCTGGTAGAGCTGAGTCGAGGTGGTGCTTGTTGTGGCAGCAGCGGTGGTTGAAATAGCACAGCTAGCGGTCGTAGCATGCGAGGCAGTGCCCCGAAAAGGAGCAGAGGTGGCAGGGCTGGAGGAGTGTGCTGGGGGACCACGGTAGGCAAGGGGGGGTGTGACTGTGTGCAGGGGAGGAGTAGGAGAAGAGCGCCCCGGCGTATGAGTGCTGTTGTAAAGATGGTGAGGATGGGACATAGAGAAGGGTCTGTGGTACGATCCAGTAGGTGGCGGTGGTGAGACTGACGGCTGAACATGTGGTCCTACTATTGAAGTTGGCTGCAAAGTGGAGGGTGAGTGGGGTGGTGGAGGATTGGGTGATGTTTGAGAGGGGGAGGGAACAGACTGAGTTAGGTTAGCCACCTCACTGTCATAAGATGTGAGGCTAGAAGCAGTGGAATCCCCTGCCTGAGGTGAGGGCAGGGGTGTGTGAGCAGGAAATCCACTTGGAAATTGTTCTTTTTGAGAGGTGGTAGACGGTGGTGGTGGGGGTGGAGGTGGTGGTGGAGGAGGGGGTGGTACTTGTTGTTGTCGAGAGTTGTGGCTGTTCTGGAGCTTCCCACGTTGTGAGTACCCAGACATTACACCTATACCCCTGTCGAAACTGTTAGCAAACTCTAGCGGAGGTGGGAGGGGCTCTGCATACACAAACTCATCATCAGCATCAACCGAAGGGGCGGGGGGAGGAAGAACCATGAGGCCAGTTCCAGAGCTGCCAGTAGTCTGCTGAACACTGGTAGGTGGAGGAGAGGGAGGTGTGAGGGACAAGATATAGGCATCAGCTTGACTTTCCATCCTGAGAAAAGACGGCCTCTGAGGCACCTGAGACTGCGTCCCCTGCCGGACAGAGCTTTCTGCAGATGCTGTGTGCTCTGCCCTTCTCATGTAGCCCTCTCTCTCTTTGTCCCTCTCCCTTTCTCGCTCCCTAGACCTCTCCCGCTCCCTCTCCTTGTAAGGTTGTTGATATGACTGGGCCTGGTAGTGGTGTGTGTGTACTGTCTTATCCTCTGAGAAGCGAACTCTGAGCCCCTCGCGAGCGCCTCCACCTTCCCGCTCTCTCTCTGGACCACCATCTTCACCCCACACATTGCCAATGCCCCTGAGGATTCTGGGTGATGGCGGACGACCAACAGTAGGCGTAGTTGCAGCTAAAGAGGATGAAGTGACCAAGTATGAGGAGCTGGAAGACTGAGCAGCAGACGACACTGGTTGAGATGTAACAGCAGATGAAGGAAATACCACACTTGACATTTGGCGACTAAACTGGTGCTCAGCTCCTCTCCTATACCTGCTGTCATCTCTCAGGGCACGTTCTCTAGCAGCCAGGGCTAAGCCTAGAGGAGATGAAGGATCAAGCGCCTTACCTGTGAGAGGGTGAATAAATGTGCTAGTGGATGGAGCTGTTGGCCTGCCTGCTGTAGTGTACAGATCAGTAGGCACAGACTTTGGTTGATAGTCCACAGCAGGTGAGGAGTATTCAGGTAAACCAAAGGCTGGAGGCATACTACGAGTGTGGTGTATGAAAGTATCTCCAGAAAACATGCCCTCGTCAATGGACTTGGACGGGCGTAGCCGCGCAGAGGAACCATCAGCCTGTGTAGTAAGCTGTTGTTGTGACACCTGAGTCCTTGTTAATGCCACTCCATCGCTTACTCCCCCAAGACTTGTGTCCTCCTCAGCAGACATGAACAAGGAGGCACTCTTTTTACGGGCTTCATGAAAACGTTCTCTGTCTCTTCGAGCTGCCCCAACAATGGCAGCACCAAACTGGCTGGTAAAGTCCAAATTTTCCTGGGCTCGGATTGATGGCAAGGAGGGCGGTGGAGGTGCTGGAATGGATGGAGGGGCGGGAGGTTGAGGAGCAGGAGTGGAGGGAGGAGGGCCATGAGGTGTTTTGGCGTCATCTGTCTCCCCTGTTGCAGGAGCATCAGCCTCAACACTGCTGCCCTGGCTGCTGCGTCCACTGCTGCTGGTTGAAGGAGCCTTGACAATTATTGTGGGTATAGGGATGGAGCTTTTCTCCACTGAGCCTTTGCCTCCTAATGTGCCTTGACCCACGCGCAGGTCCTCTACCTTAGATTGCTTGACGAGGGGACCCTTACCTCTTCGAGCTCCTCCTTTAGGCCCCCCTGCTCCAGCCCCACTGACAGTTCGGTCTGTTCGCTGCGGTTGACTTTGCGTAGTCTGTTGCTGTTGTGGAATTACAGTGGCAATACTGGAAGGAGGTACAGCGGTGCTGTAGCCTCTCCTTAAACCTGCTGCTTTTGTACTTCCTCCTATGCCACCTCCAACAGGCTCCCCAGAGTAAGCAACTTTCCTGGAAGCAGTCCGGCTCTGAGCAGTGTGGGCAGCAGCATGTGCATATGGGACTGTGTGGTCAACAGCTCCACTGCCAGGGCCGGTGGAGGGAGCACCTGATCTCTCCCTGCCTCCATGGGTGAAGTGCACTGACTGGGAGTAGGGCTGATAGTGTGCAGAGGTGGAAGTGGACTGGGAAACAGAGACGGAGGGTTGCTGGGACGTCTTGGCTCTCCAACCCAGAGGCGGAGCCGAGGAAAATGGAGGATCTGGTGGAGCAGTGGTGGGAGGAGGAGGGATGTCATCTGGACCAGGCACCGACAGACTGCGTGTAAACTTCATGGCCGGGGGATGCAGGAACTGCCTCTCCTCCTCTGGCACCCCTGTAGTACAGCGTTTAAAAATAGAAAACAATTTGGTTTGAAGACGGTTGTGTCAATCAAAGGAAAGAACACATGTTTGAAGAAGAGAAAGCACAAGAGGCAAATGAACAGAAAAGTATTTCAGAAAAACGTCTTTGAGAATATCTGTGTAAATCTGCCTGCCCATCGTCTTATAGTCTGTCCTTGTTTTTTACGTCTCTGAGACTAGAACATTGACGAGGTCTTTAGTGTATATATCGCGTATATTTGTATTTACGTCTTAAGTGACAACTGGACACTTCACAGCAGCTACATTTGATTTACTGTTTTCAGAAAATGAAAATGTTGCATAATCTTAATAAGCATCACATCAACATAAATAAGCCATCAGAAAAGATTAAGAAAACTGGTGGCACTTTTGTAATACAGCAAAAACTAGTAATGTGACAATTAGCCAAACATATATATTACGTTTACAGCACAGGTAAATAAAGCATATTTAAACATTCTGGTTACAGACAAGGCACTGTTTGCCACAAACAGACAGGTGGGCACAGTGTTGACCTCCATTGGTCCAGAGGGCACACAGACAGGTGGACAGACGGGCAGACAGAAAAAACAGACAGCCTCACCGATGGATTTCTGCCGCAGCATACCGTGCGGTGGGCCATGACCTGAGGTGAACTGTCCACGGTCATACCCAAGGCCTAAACCTGACGACATCAAACCCATGCCGGACTGATCCCCAAAACTCTGCTGAGGAAAAAAAACAGCAAAAATGAAGGACAGATATAAACAGATTACGACTACAGTTACCACCCATAAGAGACTTAAGAGAGAGTTGCACTTTGGGGTTCATTAATATAAACTGTGCTAAACTATACATTATACATGCAGGTAGAAGTCAGTCCAAATGAAGAGATTAGGAATAATTCATTCTCATATAGTTTTACTGGGTATAAAACACTAGTTAATCAAGTAACATGGGCACACACAACACTGTTACCATGTTGGATGGACTCTCTAGGCCTTATGGACATAAATGTATATTCCCACTACCCAGTAAAAACAATATTGTTTAGAATTATTTTTATTATTTACCATACATTGAATACTCTCCCCTGATAAGGTATGGTATGTATGGTGTGTGTGTGTGTTGCAGGCTCTAGCAAGTCATTTGGATGGACTTTTAACGGTTTTTTTTGCATGTCACTCACAATAAGCTTTCAGCACACAGAATTCAACACACACACACACACACACTGTCTCTGGACTCATGTAAATATGGTTTGTTGCAGTGTTATTTCTTCATACACACCTCATTGCCATAAAAACTTCGCCCTCTGTCTCTTTTTGCCCCCTGTCCACGTGTCCCTGGTGTCTCATTGGTGCTGATTGTCTGCTGAGCTGCTGCAAGAATTTCATCGAGTTTATCTGAGAGGACGATAAACACAGGAGAGACAGAGAGACAGGGAGAGAGAGAGACAGAGAGAAAGGAAGACAAAGGGACACCCAACAATGAGACAGGAATATAAAAAAACATAAAAAAGTTCCATCTGTGTCTAAGTGAACATAAGTTAACAGTGGATGAGACAGAGGATGAGCCACAGCGACGAGCATGAGCGTTCTTACTCAAAGCCATCTGGTAAACTGTCCTCTTCTTTTCTGTAACTTGCGAGGATTCGAATTCTGACGGAAAAGAAAAAAAAAAAAAGCCAGAAAAAAATGAATGGCCAAAGAACAAGTGCCAACTCATTCTGGACTACAGAAATGTAAAATGAATGTCTACGCAATGGTGCACCAGAGCGTACCTGACTTTTTTTTCCAAGGGGTAGCAGCTGGAAGGAGGACAAAAGGAGACTTAAGTTTTGGCAGGAGTGAAAGTGCGATAGCGTTGTTACACTGAATACTAATCATAATCCCTGGAGCTTGACAAACTGAGTCACCTCGCCGGGGTTTTTCAATCTTGGATGTAAAATGAAAGTGCATCATGCCCACGCTTTAAAGACAGCTTAAGCATGCACACCTACATTACAGTAAATATGCTGTACACACATACAGTATACACAACACACTGCCTGCTGTTACTCATGACACACATGAAGACACGCATTCACACACACAAATGTGTATTAAGGTCCCACCTCGTTCCACTGTTAAATTGTTACAATCCCATCCGCGGTCAGGTGTGGACAGAGGAGACACAGAAAAGACAGAGTAGGTGGTTAAACCGGCCAAGAGTGAAAGGACAAGTCCATAAGGAAGTAAAGAGGAGGAACCAATGTCACCCCTTAGTTTTGTGGTCCACAGAAGTAACTGTGTGTGTGTGCGTGTGTGTGAGAAAGAGACAGTGTAATAAACACAAATGCTAACATATTCACTGTGTTTATTATGATTTTTGTGAAGTTAAAATTTAAATGTCAAACAATCCATAAAGGGCTCCTGTCTTAAAACCATGGGTTTAAGACAGAAAGCGTAACTAACACTTGTATGAAGTGGGAAAAAAGCAAGAAATTGTGAACTTAAGTTGAGTGCCGTCATTTCCATTTTTAATCTCCTTGTTATCTTGCAGCATGACTGCTCTGTGAACTGGGACGTTGCACCAATCACAGAGGTTAGATTGTTTAATAGGCGTCACAGCTTAATGAATTCTGATGCATTTGAATAAGCATAAGGCGGCAGCTGACATACTTTCCCCACACACCGTGCTCTCACCTTGATCCACAAAAAGGCAAATGCCTAAAGTTATTAAGCTTCTGACTTCTAATTAGACCACAGCAGCTCAACTATAAAAACTTTTTCCTGGAGTCTACAAAAAAATCAATTCAATTTTAATTTATAACCAACTCCAGAATGGATCTTTTACATACATAAAAAATACAGAGACAGTATCATGCAGATATGTTCTAATTTGTTCCAACCATGTTGTATTGTAGCGGCCCTGTCAGAATCATTATACTGAACACATACAGTGTAAAGATCATGGAAGCAGCAAGTTCAGGATGGTGTTTTTGGTGGAGAGGTGATTTTAACATTTGGAAAACCACCGTTGTGTTCTTTTTCAATCACACATTTCTTTATTGTTCATTCATCATCAGCCGCTCACTGGGCATGCTCAGATCAGGAAGGCAGCCACAGCTAGAGTACAGTCACAGCAAGAAAGATTACTGTCAAGATGATACCAACTCAGTCGCCAAAAAAGCTGGAGATTATGACCCTCAGCATGATTTCTCCTCCCACTATTTTGCCTTAAAAAGACACGGGCACACATAACACTGTTACCATAGCAACTTACCAGAACAAAGTTCTGTCTGTTTTTTGTCTCTTACTCATCCAAGTAATTTTATTTAGGGTGTGATTTCTTTCAAACCACTCAAATATCTTCACAGCAAGACATATAAGAAACAGGGAGACATTTTGCCACACAAGTTAAGAAGAAAGACTTTTCAGTGATGTTTGTGACACAACTCCTCATTCTCCTGCGGTGTTACCTTGGCAACAAATACAAGTCAGTATGTGTAAATGTGGGTGAATGTGTGTATGTTGAGCAGAGGTTGCTGCTCTTTACCTGATAGGGTTAAAGCTAGGGTGGGCTAGGGAGCAATGGTGAGGTCCAGAGGAAGTTGTGTGGAGGGCTGGAGACACACTGCACATGTAGAAGTCTGCTGCTGGCCCACATGTACGTGGTCCGTAATAAAAAATGTACAGTGACCCAAATGTATTGCTCCCCATAAATAATATCAAATAGTCATAGTAGAAAATAAAAATAGTTAAACTAATAATGATAATAATAATAATACGTTTTTTTAATAAATTTATTTTTTGTAAATAAACTTCATTGCAATAAAAAATGATACAGAAAAATCGTAAATTACAGTAGTTTCAGAGGCTAGGAGACAGAGATTGAGAGAGAGGTAGGACTAGCTAACAGAGGAAGGGCAAGAGAGAGAGAGAGAGAGAGAGAAGAGTGACATACAGCAACAGGAAGTGAGAGTGTAGTGAAATATGACTCCAGAGAGTGAGATAGGAGTGAAGTATGACAACAGAGTGAGAGGGGAGTGAACTATGGCGACAGAGAGTGAGGGATGCTAACAGAGAGAGTTGCTCCACTGCAGCTATTTACTACGAAAATGATAATTGTCAAAAACTTGACAATGGGGGGGGGCAATGGACTTTTGCAGTGGGGTTACCTGCAGTGAGGGTGCTGGTAGTGACAGTGTGGAACCTCTGAAAGAACAGTGGAATGCATGGAAAGCGTCATCCATGGCAAAGGCCAATCTTTGCCTTTCTTTTCTCTTTATTTCTGTGACTGAGTAAGTATACAATCTTGTTCTCCACTTTCTTGCTGTCTAAATTTAGACCTCGCTCAACTCCCCTTCTCATGCAGCATCTTTAACAACCCCCAGCACTCTGGTTTCACACCGTTTCTATCATTCTTTATCACCTCCATATATTTCTACCCACTAACTTTTTTTCCCCTCTTCCTCCTCTTAAAGCTGCTTCTGTCTACATCTTCATCGGTCTGACCAAAGGCTTTAGCACTCTTTAGCTTCCACCCCTCTCCTAATTGGAAGAAGTTTATCAAAGCAGGTTTCTTACCCATCTCCTCCAGCTCTGAAGTCATGGATTTGGATCGTATAGCAATGGCGGGAGTGCTGAGCCTCTTACTCTGCTGAGGAACTAGAGACGGGTGGGGCAGAAAGTGTGAAGCAAATGTCAGTTAAAGCAATGGAAATCACCAACATCTTGAGCATCACAATTTGCCCTAGAAAATATAAACCAACTCTTTTTTCTTGCACCATCCTCCATGCCAGGGTTGCGGGTTACCATGACCACCTTGACCATGAGGCTGTTGCCACCTTGTCTGATCATGTTGACGACTTGCCGGTGACCCACTTTAACCACATTCTGACCATTGACCTGGATGCAGAATGATGAAAGGCTGTTAATTAGGTGGCCATGCCTATTATACGACTGTACATAGAGATACACTGCGTAGAGTTTATTAACAGCTAGTGTTGATCCTGACCTCAGGTTTCCTACCACAAAATGGAGATCATATTTCCACTCTAATGTTGTTCAGTTTGACTACTCTGGTAGAACGGGAAAAGGAGGGAATCCTACACAGCTGGGTTCTTAGCAGGGCCTGTTACTATTTTAACTTAAATATATATATATATTTATATATTAAATTATATTCTGACATTCTTTTTTTTTTATTTATATGTTCACCTTTTGCTCTTAATGGCCAGCATTTGACTTTTGGGACAACCTAACCTAATGTTTAAGCTTTCTAAGAGATTTTTAAATATCATATAGTTAGTATTAATGTTTAAACAACCCATATTTCTATATGTATAAACTATTCCCACTTTAATATTTAGTTTATCGTTTTAGCTATCCTTTAGCTATTTCTACTTGAATATTCCGATATGTTTAAGAAATGCTTGATATTTCCTGTCAAGGCTACAGCACTACAATAGGCTAGTTTTACCTGGCATCTATCACATCTGTTGGCCCACACTTTTAATGTATATAAACCTAATGGTATATGACATCTGGCATTTTACACTCTTGTACTTTATAAAGGTTGATCTTATAACGGCTAACTATAATTTTTTGTAAAAGGTCAGGGGATAATCAAACACGTTTTAATTTATGTCCCAAGCTGCAGCAAAAACTTGGAGGTATAGTAATTATTTTTATTTGTTGTTCCTAACAAAAAATCAACACCAGTGGTAACCGAAGCTGCGACTACTCTGAGTCATTAAAGTTTTACTGTTACTGCCCTGTTCAGTGACTGGCTAACAAAATTTGCTTGATGATAAAAGTAAATGTTACATTAAGAATTACATTACATTAAATCTAGTGTGAAGTGATGTCGTGAGCACAGTTAAGCGAACGTCTTGGTTATTTTAATTCCACTCCAAACGATAAGAGAGAAGAATTACAGCAGTACCTCTATTAGGAAATCCCCCATCCTGAGACCTGCCCTCCAGGCCACACCACCTTCATCCACTGACTCCAGGTACTGCAGGGCAGGGAAAGCTGGGGTAGGGGTGAACTCCTCGATAGGGGTCTGGGCTGCAGACACAAGCAGGATACATTAGTAATGCAAGTAATGCAACCCAAATTAGGAAGGTCGACTTGATATTTTCATACCTTTTGCTCCTCTCAGCACAAAGCCAAAGCCTTCGCTGTCTTTTTTCTGAAGGAGCACTGTCTTCTCTTTGATTATGTAGTCACTAAGACACAGAAGACACACATGGACACACCGCTTTATTTACCCTTTGCAGAGATAACATGAGATAGCAGAAACCTTGGCATATACAGTTATTTTTTTCATTGGTGAATATTGCACTATATGTAGATCAGGGGCATCCGACAAGTAGATCTCGATCTACCAGTATATTGCAAAGAGAGTACTGGTAGATCATTAGCAATTAAAATATAGAAATTAAAAAATATCCATATAATTCTATAGCATGAATTAGGGATCATATACTATAAGAATGTGTGTATATGTATGAAGCACCTAAAAACTTTTCTCTTCAAAGAACATCTCCACTAACATCTAACATGCACCTCTTCTTATTCTATGACCTACTATCCTTATGACTTACTGTCTGTTTACTGTAGCTTGATTGTTGATTGACTGACTCAAATGGTAAGTAAAGCATCTGCTAAATGTATTGTAATACATATACATACACACACTGATTAAATTGAATCAAATCCCACCTTGTATCAGACCCAACATGTTCACATTTTAGTTAAAAATAACTCTAAATTAAAGAAGAATGTGTGTTTGAATTCAACCTGCTACTATTTATATTTGAAATGAGGAAAGTGTTAATGCCACTGTTGATGATTAATAGGTACCGGTTTGTCTACTGATACTTCTAAAATAGGAACACAAATTGGAAAATACTGTGTAACTCTTAAAGTGTCAAATTTACACTGTGTTTTATTAAATAGTTTTAATATTATATGTAGCAATTGTTATGAAAGCAAATAGGACAGACTGTCCTATGACTTATGATTGATCAATATATTTCTGAATACTTTTCACAAGATTAACTGATCAATAAAAGTACCTCTCCTTAAACATACTACATCTTTATGTTGAAAGTATTACCAAAGTATAACCAATGCCAAATTGTGTTGCGTAGAGTCAGTTAGTCTTTCTTTCATTTGCTGTATGTTCGTGACAGGTAGTCTAAAGCCAGATTCTAAAACAACCAGAATGCAAGATGCTATATACAGCACAAAGTACGGCTCGTTGCCTCAGCAACCATTAGAAAGTGGACACAGGGACACTTGCTGGGGAAGGTCCAGACCATAGTCAAGCTGTGTAATGGTAAGCTATAAATCACTGACAGTAGAGAAGCAGCCTGGTGTCCTTAAAGGCAGAGTATTTAGACTACAGTAGTATATATTCTGGTATGGGCTGTGGCACTAACAGAGGGTGGTAGTAAGTAACACAAGTGCATTTACTTACTGAGAGAACACACCTGAAGTCTAACAAAAAATGCATTCATGTATTAATGTACATTTATTTGACTGCAAATTATGAATGCATTTTAAACACCATTAGCAAGAACTTTCTTCTGCTAATCCTTCCTTTTACTCTTGTATCTGGTATATCTGGTATAGAATATACCAAATATATGAAAACTACATCAAGTCTGGTCAGACTTAGACCTAGCATATACTAGGACTCGATATTATGACAAAGGATGAAAGAAGAGAAAGAATTGCTTATATGCTTATTTGTGTAGGGTATATTGCAATGGGGATTTCTTTAGGTCCAAGAACTATCCATTATCACTCACACTTGTATATATATATATATATATATATATATATATATATATGAACACATTAGCGGTTCATCGTCTGATACATTGCAACATCCACTAAAAATAATGTTGCTCTGCATGATGTCTTAAATATTTAGTTTTACTGCAGAAAAACACTAAGGTTTAATGAAATGTTAAATTTGCCATCCTGCTCACATTCAGTAAATAAAACACCTGTGGATTCTTTCAAGTAGATGGGGGGATGAAACTACAACTTTTTTTTTGCAACTGCATATTAATAAGGGACAGAAGATTTATTATTAATTTAGTGTGATTTGGCACAAGTGTTTATGCTGGATGCCCTTCCAAACACAGCCTGTCCCATTAATCAGGTGCAATCAGCATCAGGAAAAAAAAATGTCAGTGGTCCCATTGGCTGGGTATTATCAGCTGATCTTTCTTGCCTGAGTTAGAAATCCTAGAACTGAACCCAAGATTGTGCCGATGTTGGTCCTTTCATTTAACCAAAGCGTCCCAGACTTTGAAAACTCCTGGTCCAGGAACCTTACTGATAACTAACAAATTAATTTTAACCACAGTCAACTGATCTTTTTGGCTCTTTTGTTTTGCCCAGGAGGTTTATGTACACCCTACATATAGTAACAGGAGTGCACAGTATGCGACATGTATGGACACTTGACCACGGTTTGAGAACTGCCATCATTAGGCATCCTTTTTGTATTATAAAAGGTCTGGGCAGTCAGAGCTACGCTAATTTAGGGGCTGAGTCAAAAACGTTTATATCTCACTTTAGCTGTAGCATTGAGTGCCGATAATCCCATCATGCACCAAAATCCTGGCCCTCACTTCCTCTTCCTCCTCCTTTTTTCACTGCCTTTCTTTTTCCATTATTCTTTTCCCACCTATTTAATGCAACATTTACTCTCTTCCCCTCCGAACCTTAAAACATTCCCCATTCCTTAAATTAATAACATCATCTTTTTCATTCAGTGCATTTTCCTTCAATCTCATGTAGCCTTTTTGCTTTTCTCATTCTCTCCATTATTGTTGCCCAGGCCAGATCTCCAAAGCTCTAAGGTGTCAACTGGATGAATGAACATATACGGTATACAGTACAAAAACACACACACATTGACAAAAAATATTAAAGTAAGAATGTGCAGTGACTGTAGATGACTGTTTCCTGTCTGTGAGCCTCTCTTCTCATAGTCTAACTGTTTTCTGAATGACACAGCCATTTTCATACGGTGAGGCCCGGGGAGAAGCCTTGTCACATCAATGGTGGATCTTGGGAGAAAAAGCCAAATGTGTACCAGATTTATAGGTAATAAGCATTTTCATTAGGAGCTGATGGTCTCAGGCACTGGTTTCAGGTCTTTTTATAATATTATATCACTTTTGTAAACTATTATAGAGTTTAGAGGAAAATAAATGAAAAACTGTCTAATAGAAGTCTTGTTGCAAGCATTAGGGCCTAAATATGACTCGGAAGTAGGGGGGTGGTATTGGCAAGAATCTAGCAATTCTTTGTATATATACCACAACAAAACAATTCAAAATGTTAACCAAACTTGAATGGAAACATCTGCAAGATGGAATACTTAATAATAATATAATATATATTATATAATAATAAAAATAATTAATTTTGTATTTGTCTCAGAACCTTTTGACTTCCCCTCATATTCTGTCAACGTTTGTCTGCCCTGTACCGTGTTTCGTGTTCGAATACCTTATTGTGTTGTTGATTTCACTGTAAAAAAAGTAAATAAAATGGTTGCATACTTCATATTTCTAGCCTTATTTTAAGGTGTGAGTATGTGTGTGCGCGTGTGTGAGAATAAAACATAAAAAATAAAAAAAATGAATTTAGGCCTGCTCAACTAAAAGACTTTTATTTCTTAAAACAAAAACAACTACTTTGCCTAAACTCTGTCAGATTTCTAAGGTAAAGCAGATGCTCACATATCAAATTCACCCTGCAGGGCTTCGCTGTCCCTGCAGGCAACACGAGCAACAGGTGACTGTTATTCCTGTTTTTATTCACACTTGAAAAAAAAAATCTGCTTGTGTGCAGGCAACAAACACCAGTCCAGAAAAGTCACCAAACACCAACATCCAGTGATATTTTTACTTGTTCTCTTTTATGATCACTAGTACAACAGACCTTTGGAGGCAATTCAATGTTTTATCCCTTCTTGATATAAGGCACTGCAGGAAAATCCTTTGTATCGACATTATAATGAATATAATAATAATATATACGGGTGTACAAACATGGGCTTCTGCAGCTGACCATCTGCTTCCATCCCAGTCTGTACGCTGTTGCCTTTACCAATTCAACAACAATGTCCCAACATGTCCTCCTTCAGAATGTCCAATATTTATCTCTGGAGTCATGTTCATCTTCAACGTCCTTTGTCCACTGTCTTCAGCACAAACCAACCTTGCCTCAATCACACTGGTTGTTTCCATTCCAACCATTCCAACAGGTACCTACTACTGAAGCTCTGTTGTCTTCACATACATCATCACATTTGAGGTTGACATTTATATTGTTCCACTTCAGTGGCTGGACCCTAGCAAATCCAAATTACAGTCAATACACAAGGGCCAACAGGGCCTGCCTGCCTTAGTTGAAGATCAACACATTTCCGTGAAAACCAGGCAGCTGCAACACTTTACTACAGGACATTTCTTAAAGCAGACCAATAACTTCACAGCACAATAGAAGCACCGTTTTTTTAAGGAGCTGCTCAAAGTTCTATGGTTGGTCTTAACCTACCCACAAATATACAACCAGTCTTTAAACCTAACCATGGTTATTGTGTGTACTGAGAATAACTACTGACTCATTATGTTGCTGCTCATATATTCACCCTACAAATTACAATGTGTTTTTTTTTTCAAAGAGCTGGGAAGATGTTTAGAAAACTTTTCCATGATATTGTCTAAACACAGTGGATGAGAGTCAACCAGTGTTACCTATTCACTGTTTGCTGTGATTTCAGCTAGTGTACCAGCAACTGAGCTGGACAATCCAGCCTGAAAGTACAGTCTGTCTCATACTACTTAACCTGCTTGAGTCAAGTGGACATTCTCAGAGTTGTCAGGCAGAACCTGTAACTTGACTTGCATGCTGCATCGTTAAAACTCCCATTCGGTGCACTGTTTTTATTCTGTCAGCAATCTTTCTTTGTCTATCACCCTCTCTCTCGCTTTCTCTCTATCTCACACACACACACACACACACATTATAGGACATTAGAATACACACACTTAACCAGCCAACACAGGAGGAGGGAGAGGAGGAGGCGGATAAATTTGACTGCCACACCATTCTGTTTTGATTGAGTGCAGCACACACACCATTCACTCACGCTGGAACACACATGGGCTGAAAGACACACAAACAAGCATGT